GGCAAGGCTACGAAAGGCTCAGCTCAACGATCTGCACGGGCGAACCCCACGTACCCACAAGACACGAACTCGCTGGATCCCAGACCGAAGCAACAACACACACAGAAGCGAAGTCCCTACGCTGCAGAACAGGCTAGACAGTTCAACGCTCAAGTTCTTAGGCTCGAAGAAACAAGCCCGAAGCCCCCTAAACCCTAAGCCTTAAACCCTAAACCCTAAACTCTAAACCCCTAAAACCCTAACGTTTATAACCCCTACACCGTTAAACCCTAAACCCTAACCCCTAAACCCCTGAACCCCTAAACTGGAAGCCAACCCTTAAGCCCAGGGCCTGGGCTCTACCCAGAGAGCCCAATACCCCTCAACTAAGGAATATACCTTAAATCATAATATTAAGGCCCCTATAATTTAAGGTATATTCCTTATTTTAAGGGTATTGGGCTCTCTGGGTATGTGGGGAGCTCCGCAAACCGCATTTCGATTTCTAGCGAAGGGAGTTAGGACAAAGTAGGTAAGTTTAGGGTTTGGGGTTTAGGGTTTGGGGTGTAGGGCTTCAGGGTTTAGGGGTTAGGGTATAGTCATATCGATTATGTGTAGATGTTAGTCAAAGCAGCCACAAGGCAAAGGAGCAAACAACAACAGTGCTGATAGCTTTTGATGTAGGAGCTCTACTCTTTGTGGTCAGCTTAGAACTGCTTGCAGAGCCAGCAGAGCTTGTGTGTTTTGCTGCTAGCATCACTACATCAGGTAAAACCAAAACAAAAGCACAGTAGGCTATGGTAGGTTAAGGTGCACCCTGAACTGTGAACTGACATCAGCCGACGCTCGCCCAGGCAAGCGACCGATTCAGCTTTAGTGCCCGCTTCAGGCGTCGATGCATGTGAATTTAGTAGGGCGAAGATGGCCGTGATGATGTTCTGAGGACATTGGTGGGCATCAACGACGATGAGGGAGGTGATGGTGATAGAGACGACGACTGTGTGTTCCTATGTTTCTGGTGACCTAGTTCAGGCATATATGCATCAATGCCCTCATTGAGTTTGGCGGCTGTTGTGACACTCTCTGTGCTGATCGTGCCTGTGATTGCTTGTCGGTGCTGTGATGACCGACGGGGCTTGTGCTAATCATAGCATCTTCGGCGCTAGCCTTGAAATGAAAAGCATCCACATGAGGAAGGTCTGGGCAGAGTCTAGTATGGGGGCCGTAGCTCTGGTCAGTTTGTTGGGGGACATGCATGCATGGATGGATGAATGGATGGATGGATGAATGCAGTTTATTGTATGCATATATGCATGCATGTATGTATGTATGGATGTAGATGTACATGTATATTGTATGTATGTATGTGTGTGTGTGTATGTATGTATGTATGTATGTATGTATGTATGTATGTATGTACGTACGCATGTCTGCATGTACGTACGTACTTCATGAGTGTGTACACGTACATTTAAGTGTCTGGATTGGGTGTATACATGTATGCAGACATGCTAGACAGTTGCTGGTCTGAGCACCGACATTCATGCCGACAGTGTCTGTGATGCTGGCAATGGCGGTGACCCTGGTGACGACGTTGATGTTGATGATTGTGATGACTCTGATGATGATGATGATGATGATGATAACGATGATGATGATGATGACGATGATGATGATGATGACGGTGATGATGATGACGATGATGATGGAACCCTAAACCCTAAACCCCAAACTCCAAACTCTAAACCTTAGGTGATGGGGATGCGGGATGGCTTCCCAAAACCCCCTTCAACCCTGAAGTCCAAAACCACCCCAAAAAAATCGAACCCCAGAGACCCCGAAGCCGAAAAGCCGTACCCCCTGCACACTCCCCGGCGTAGTGGTAGCGAAAAAAGGGTTTAGGGTTTAAGGTTTGGGGTTTAGGGTTTAGGGAAGAACACCAAAAAGCCAAATAAGCATCCCAAGCAACAGAACCCTCCCCCTCCCTCCCTCCCCTCCCCTCCCTTCCCTCCCTCCCCCTCCCCGCCCGGTCAATCCCATTGTTTGCTTTAGGGCAATGCAATTACAACCACTCACATATATGTTCCGTAACATTTGGCTCCAAGTGGTTTTGCTTGATCCTATCTCTAGCTTTACTGCAGCGTGTGCAAGGGACAAGTCTTTAGGTCTGGAAGGAGCATAACCCCTCCCCTCCCCGCCCCTCCCTCTCCCTCCCTTCCTCCCTGCTTTGCATGTGTGCAGGTGCTTCAGTGCATACAGGCTTTTCAGGCCTGCTCTTTGACGGACACTTTCTTAAGGACATGCTGCCGCCTTTGCGACGTCGCGTGGTCAAGAAGTCCAACCACCAAGCCAGCCGCCGAGAGAGTTGCCGTCGGCCTCGCCGTGGTCGTCGCCGTCGACGCCGTCGTGGTGTCGTCGTTGTCGTCGTGGCGTCGTCGTGTCGCGGCACCGCTGCCTCGTGGTCTCATGTAATCGCGGTTGCGGCCGCAGTCGTGGTCGTCGTAGATGCATACACGCCCCTGAATTGCCAGAAGAGCTGGAGGGCTCCTACTTAAGCGTCTGATCAGCATCTAGTCACAAACTGTTACCAAGTTCAGAAGCCAGGGTAGACGCATGCAGAGTGAAACAGAATGCCCCCGTCGTTTGACTCCTGCTTGGCCGCATTTGGCCGCCACAGAGCTGTGTTTTTGTCCTTTGGCATACTGCTGCAGCTGGAGGTTCACAAGTATCAATGGGATTGCCTGCTTGAAACCTACGAGCACTCAATCCCGGACTTGCTGGATGCCTTGCTAGAGGAGGCTCGTAGTCAGACCAGCGACGTTCTCCAACAAATCATCGTGCAGGTTGCAGTGTTTCCAGGCATTGGAGGGGGGTGCAGCTGCGCTTGTCTATCGCGGCCTTTCCGGGCCAGCTCCGCAAGAGAATCGACCAAGCGGCTTGGAGACCCAGGAGAAAGCAGGGGCGGCATGCAAGCTGCGGCTCGCTGGCTGCTCAGGTGCGACACGCACTTTGCGGACGGCACCGGACGTGGACGAAGCTATCATGCCGGAGACGCAGTGCGCAGGCATCGCAGGCCGTGGCCTCGGCGAATGCTGTGCTGACCGTTTCGTCCCTCCCAGAACTGAGGCGAAGAGAGCTGGATATTGCAGGACAACCTAGTCAGGAATCTCAAGCCGACCCAGTCTTCAGACCTGCTGGTGGTACACCCGGCGACTGTTGATGTGCCCGTGGAGTTCTCGCTTCCGTCATCTTACATCAACATCGGTAACCCGTTCGCATGCCGCCCCTGCCACCCCGTGCTGCTTTGCGCCAATCGATCCCAACTCAGTCAACCCCATGTGCCCGATATCGCCCAAAGTTGCCCAGAAACCGCCTGAGTTACACATGTGGTTGCGCTGCAGTCATGAGCAATGCATGGTCAGGGCAGAGGTCGAGTCCCTTGTCAAAACGTGCTTGGGATCAAGTCTAAGTTCTGGACCACAACCTGGCCAGGCTTCGGAACACTCTGCGACTGCAGTTCACTCTCTGGTGGCTGGGTGTTCCGGCAGCAAGTGTTCAGCGACGAAGGCTGGCACATCTGGCCGTCGCAGTGCCGCAGTCGATGCAGGCGCACTCCACAGGATCCCCGAATGCGGGCTGGCCCGGCAGAGCCTGGCACCCGCATGGAATGGCAGACCTTTATTGAAGAGCCGCTCGGCTCTGGACGATAAGCTGCGTCTCACTGCTCCGAGCAGAGACGGCCTTTGGATTCTTGTTTCAGACCTTGCTGGTCCCCGCACCGAGGTTGAGCGACTCAGAGGCGCGGTGGTGGGCTTCCACTGAGGTGGATCGATCGCAGCGCGCGGAAGAGGCCCGGCAGGGGTCGCCAGTGAGTCCCTGTATCATGCTTCAGCTTGGCGCTCAGAGGATAATCTGCGGATTGCTGCGCTTGATGCAGTCAACAGCGCCTCAGCTTTCTGCATTCCCCGCGGATGCCCTAGCAAGGCCCCATGCTTGAGCCTCAACTTTACTCCCTCCCGTTCCGAAGGTGCAGTAAGTCGTTGGTTTGGGCAGGTGATTTCAGCTTGCGGCACTTTTTCTGCGAGATACTGAGGCTGCTTACACTGCTCGAGGCGTGTGCTCCTGCTGCGTGTCGCATCTGGTGACCTGGCACACAACCGGCCAGTCCTGGAACTTCCATCAGGATGGGACCGAGCAAGGTCGTAAGGCTCACGACGAAGCCTCTCTGCTCTCGCTCTGCCAGGACATTACAGCCGCTCGGATCAGACCGCCCAGATGCCAGCTATCTTCATAAGCCCCAACAGCATTACCTCCACGATGGGGGTGTCGATGCCTCAGTGACTTGCCTTGAGAAATCAGCAGAAGAGCAGCATGGCTCGCCGTGATATCTAGGACAAAGCTGGGGCGAGGCACAAAGTTCCACCAATCGATTGGCACCCTTGGTTCTGAGCCGCCTGAGCCTTCGCCATTAACTGTTGTCATGCCGCAGGGTCCAAGCGCAAAATGATGCTTCCTGACTTAGCAGGGGCCCGATGTAGCAGTGCATTCCTTGTAGATGCAGTTTGATAAATTGATCATCCCGAGTTCATGAACGAGCCCATTGCATCTCGCTCCCACCTCGCCATCTGCTACAATGCCGACTCCGACAGGAGAGAATGTCAAGCTTTTTCCGCCTGATGCATGTCAACAGACTGCGCACAGCCTTCAAGTGCGCCTCAGAGGTACCAGCTCATGGACACTGGCTCCAAGTGGGGCACGTTTTTGCAGGCCGACTGGTTTATCGGACAGGGGTGAGATCCTGCAGTACAAAGAACTGCTGATCGCAGGTCCAACCGGAGGGCGAGCTTTTGAAGTGTGGGGATTGGATACGCATTGGAAGCGCCGAGCTGGTCGTTCGATTCTGTGGTGGTCACTGCAATGCCCACAGGCCGGAGACGAGAACACGTGAAAGCGTCCAAAAGATAACAAGCCCTTTCCTTGTCAGGTGGCATGCCCAGAGAGGACAGCGCATGTCTGCTATGGCTCGATCCATGAGCTCCTCTTCTCTGAAAGGCAGGGCAAGACAACCGTAGATTTCAAAGCTGGGGCTTGGGCCTCGGTCAGGCAGTTCGTCTTTCGCAAGTAGCCTGTCGATGGGCAACTGGGCAGAGGAACAGGCACCGTGCCTGGTCGTGGTGCTTCACAGAGGCTGGAACACGATGCTTGGACGCCAGGAACCGGACGAAGAGGTGCAGGAGCAGATTGCGTCTGTCCTCAGCGACCCTGCGGCAAGCATTGGGTTTTCAGAGAATGCCAGGCTCCGGTTCTGGAGTCGAAGGGTCTTCGACTTGTGACCTCCGCTGACTCTGAGGCGGGAGACCGCGAAAAGCCTGGGACACACCAGCCGACAGGTGACGCGATCGCAAGTATGTGTGTGTCCGCGGCATCTTTCGGAGCAGAGCGGTGGGCCGAGGATGTGCCAATCTCCTCACGGCTTCCAGGATTCGAGGAGTGCCAGGGCGTTCAAACAGAGACGGGGATACTCAAGCTGGGTCAATTGAAGTGCTGTGGCACCTGGTGTCATTTTTCTTTTGATTAATACAGCATTCGCACAGCAGTTCGGCATAATTCAGCCAGCTCGCAGGAGTGGGGTTGCCTGGGGCCTATCGATGCTTGCAGGACTGTTCCCGACATTCGTCCTCATTCTTCGTCATGAGCCCAGCTTTCGCGAGCCCTGCAGGTTTCGGACTTGTCGTTAGCTGAGGTCTCTGCCGTGGGCCTGCTGCCGAGAAGCCCACTGCAGCCATAATGTGCGCACGACCACCCCAAATCTTCATGAGGCGCCTTTGGAGATTGACTTCGTGTCAGGACCGCGCACGGGGGAAAGGCCCGAGCCTCCAACGGTGGTCCTAGTTCTACAAGCGCCGGATCCGCTTCCGTTCTGGTAGGCTGCTCCTGACCGATAGTGTGTGCACCGTCGGTCGGGCGGACACTTGCACCGTGCAGGTTGGAGAAGAGACTTGTCACGTAGCAGTCCTGGAGCTTGCCAATGCTGCAATGTGCCAGATCAGCGACCCCATGCTGGCAAATGTTTCGCGAAGGCATTGTTTTCTGAAAAGAACCGCCGAGGGCGACTTGCCTGCAGCTGTGGGAAGAGCCGTGTATGGCAACGGCACGCTGTGGCTGAGCCGAGGTTGGAAGATTCAGGACAACAAGTCCACGAATGGAACTTGGAGAAGGCTCTCCTGTGCCCGACTCCAAGTGGAGAGAATCACCTTGCCTTGCCGATCGGGGCTTGAGAAGTACCCCAAGGTTTTGGAGCCGTCCGAGCCAAAGGCCAGCATGCCTTCGGAGAACTCGAGGCTGTTGAACATGTGCAAGTCCTCCCTTGCAGGATTTGCAGAACGGCGCTTGCATTCTGGCAGGCACGCGCATTTTCACTACGTTCAAGATGCACTCAAGCTGTGAGCAGGTGTTCATGAATTTAGAGTCGAGGAGGCAGTCTCTTGTCCATAGAGAGAAGTCCCAGCTCGAGCTGAGAGCGACTTTCTTTAGTGACAGAGTTTGTCCCAGCATCGTGTAATGGATTGCCAGATGTGTTCACAACACACTGTAGCCACGTAGCTGCACAGCTGGCTGTGTCTAGCTGAACCCGAGGAAATGGATCGGTGTTGGCTACCGTCACCTGCATCCAAGATATTGCAATCGCTGCAAGCAGCCGCTGGCGCAGAGCAGCGGCCACAAGACGAAGCTTCTTGGACGAAGGCGGTTTTTCACTTGCCCCTGGCGCTGTCCTGTAGTTGGGCTCAATGGCGGGAATGTAGCCTAGAATCCTAGACGTTGGGGTCGTCGTGGGGGGGTGGTGGGTTGCACCATGAAGCGAACTGCTCCTGGTTGTTCGTCACACTGTTATGTGGACGATTCGGTTCGAATCTTGCGAAGTGTCGTGGTGCGACAGCCGAGGAACCCGCAGAGGTCATCCACGGCCAGCCATAGCCCAGGTCTCGTTGATTCGAGAAGCAGCCGTTGCAGGCAAGATCCTGCAGCAAAGCTGCGGTCTCGGGATAGGGCCAGCATCATGCTCTTTCGTCTTTTCAATTTGATGCCGGCATGGTGTTTTTTGCATCCCGAAATCAACTCACACTGAGAATTGCAGTTTTTCGTTATGTAGTAGCAGTCGATGGCGAGCAAGGGAAGTCGAGCTGCCGAGAACCCGAGCTAGCTACATCAGTGCTTCCCGAAGCTAAGCACCGGACGCCTTGTTCGCCTCGCTGCAGAAGCCAGTGTTCTGATGACTGCGTCGGACTGCGTCGCTCCTACGATTTAGCCCTCTTGGCTTGACGATTGGGAAAGCGATGCAGTAGAGAGCTGTGGAATGCCTGCCAACGTCTGAGATGGGGTGGGCAGTGTACATGGCCCAGATCCACAGCTATGCAAGAGGTTCAGCACGTCGTTGTCATCTTGAGAGCACATGTGTTTCTTGATTGGCATTCTGTAGTCTTGTTCTTGTGCTGTCAATGAACTTCTTGCCTGGCAAGCCGTCGTTCATTCACCAGGGGCGTACGAGGACCGGAAATGCAGAAGGAGGCCGACTAAAGCACTGAAGAATCACACCTCACAACGCCTTTACTCCCACGGTGCTGTTTGCCCGAGTTTGTGGCATGCCAGTGCCTCCCTGTCGAAATACGAGGGCATAGGTCTTGATCCAGAAGACCGTCAGTGCTCGGGGTTTCCACGAACGCATGGTTCAATGCACCATGCCCTCTTGCTGCAAGCTTGCGATTATGGGGAGCCGTTCAATTTTGGAATCTATGCCCGTGGAGTACACATGCAGGTGTATGCCGAAGGAAACGACAAGTGGCATCTAGCAGCTGTCTAGCAAGTTTCCCAAGCTTGTCAGAGCATCTTGCCCTGGAGCATGAGACCGAGCTGTTGCTTCCACAACAGCTCTGTGCAAAGCCACGTTCCGTACATTTCTTCTTGGCCGTCTCTATTGTACACAGTCAGAGTTACTTCGAGGAACATGGCTTGGGACACGAAGCCTTTGATTCTTCCGCACTCTTGACCCATGGCCCCCTGGCACATGGTCATGGAATTGATTTATGGTGCTTGGCACCGGCATAGGACGTTTAGTTTAGGCCTCCAGGCTCTTGTCAGAGTCAGGGCGGGGACTGCAGCGGACATATCGCTTGAGGAAAGGAGCTGTTGCAGTTGAGGCTTCGCCTTGGGACCAGCTTCGAGTGAGGTCTTGGCAGGGCAATTTGCAGCCGGATGGCTGAGCGTAAGGACAAGTCGGTGCCGAGCCGTCAGGTTCTCACCAGCGAGCATCTCAGACCAACAGTGCCTTCTAGCATTCTTGCCCTGTTCACGTGAAGCAGCCTAGGTGGCCCTTCTCTTCCTCCTGGGCAGGCTGCTTTGGTTGTGATACATGTGGCAGTTGAGCATAGGCCTCAATTCTCAGGAGCCTTCCATCATTGCTGAGTCAGACACAATCTGCTTTTTGTGGAAGCCACCAGGCACTGAACGAAGCTTGTTAGAGACACGCTGGTTTCTGCATGTTTCCAGGGTGGACCATGTCCGTCGGCAAAGATCGGCTGTCTGGGGAGGGTGAGAGGAAAGGAAAGGGACCACAAGGCTGATCTGACATCAGATCGCGCAAATGTGTTGGACCAGTTGTGGACGAGGCGAAGCGAAGATGCTGCAAAGCTGGCTGCGGCGATGTTTCAGCACCCCGGCAGAACTCCCTCAGAGTTTGATGTGCACTGTTTGCACTGGCAGTCACTGGCATGCGGTGCCTTGCTTCTCCAAGGCGCGAACCCTATTGTCCAAAGCTCAGCAGACATGCTGTTGGAAACTATGGCATCCGGATGCATCCGCCATCATCCGGCAATGCTCAGCTGTAGGTGCACGATGCAGAAGCCCAGCAAGCCTCTCAGTGGTCCTAGTGTCATCACCAGGCAGCAATCACGAGTCTGTGTTTGCAATTGCGGGTGAGGCACGGACTGTTGCATAGGCAGGCGCCTCGGAATCACTAGCTTCGCACGGAAGAGCCCGCTTGATACGAGCCGAGGCTCGACGAAAACACGTCTGGGCTTGTCGCCTTCACCAAAACGTGGTCTCCTCGTCTCCGAGTAGAATCACAAAGATTTTACGATGTCTCGAGTTCGAGTGGTGCCACAGTAGGTTTTCGGCATACTACGCTGGCCAGGTAGCGCTGCGGCCCTAGTGCACGCTCTAGAAGTCCCTACTGTAGGCTCTTCGGTCTGCAGCCGAAATGCTATGTCAGGTTTCTGTTGAGGAGAGTCCAGAAACGTCGCCGGCCTAGTGGGGAGCCTCTGCCACATCAGCAAGCCGTCTTGAGCGTCGAGGCTATGTTTGTGTATGTCATGGGCACTATCCGCCCGGGAAGTGTGAGCTTCAATCTCGGTTCGACCATCTTGGAAAGAACCTGTCAAGAGTATTTGGAGATGTGCCTGCCGCATGTTCTGCAGGCCTATTGATGCACCCCTCAAGTCAGCAGCTCAGCTTCAGATACCGAAGCCTTTGGCCCAGAGCGTGAAAATGCCGGCCAGGATTGTGCGAGATGAGCGCGTCGGGAAGCGAAGTGTGACAGGCAGGCTTTCTAGATGCAGCTTTAGAAGGCGGTCCTTTGTATCACCGAGATTCGTTTGAGGAGTCGGAGGCCGCCCGAGCCGCACCTTGGCCAAGGGCCCAGAGTCGGAGGTCACTTTCAAGACGGCTTCGGATAAGCGCATGCGAGCGCATGCGAGCGCAAGCAGGTGAAAAGTGTAGCACACTTCCGGGGGCCTCAGGGCCGACCTCTGAGTTTGCTCGAGGCAGGGCCGGCAGCGGCTTCGAGTTCGAGCCAGTGGGCATGTCATGCTACCGGTCACCGTCATTTGGGCCGATCCGCGATCATTTGGCTCGAAATCCAGCGTGCAGAGCACACTCCGGGGCTTGCCCTCAATGAAGTGAGGTGCGGAGTTTCCGTTGCAGGATGGAGCCGCGTTCCTGACCTGGGCAGGTTGTGACGGCATGAGGCTCTTTCGAAAGGCAGGAGAAGTGATCTGAAGGTCGCAGGTCGCAGAAGGGCCCTCTTGTCACAGGCATGGCTATGGCTATGCCTTCCAGTCACCATTGCCATGAAGGACAACATCCCGAGCTCCGGCTTGCGCCCCTCGATAGTGTGATCATCTCTTAACTCGTGGCTAGTGACTAGTCCACAACCAAAGACGGCAGCGACTGCTTCTCCCACTAGTGCCGCGGCATTTAGCATCACAGTCGCTGCGTTCCCACAAGAGACCTCAGAGAGTTTGGTGCTCGCCGGTCCTGGTTAGAGTCTTTCTAGCCGTAGGTCGAGGAAAACGCAACAATACAATGCAAAGACAACATCCCGAGCCCGGACGAGGGGGGCCATTTTTGCAAGCCACTACCCGCTAACCGGTTGATCGTTCAGGACCAGTCAACGGCGACTGTAGAGTGGTTCCATAGCACTTCGTTGGCTGAGATGGTCGTGTGCTACTGGGTTTATCGGTTTATCCCTGTTTCTTTTTCCCACGTTTCCTGCAGAGCGATTCGTCCTGGCAGGACAGCTCCATTGGTTCGACAGAGTTGGATGTCAACCTCGAAGGCCACGGCACACTGCAAATCGCTGCAAGTGTACTGCTACTCGTAGGCATGTCAACTCATGGCGATCAGGCAAGGACGGTGAGATGCTTGGGCAAGGCGAGCTCGAGAATTTTGGCAGATGCTGCAGTGCCTTCATTGCTACATGACAAGGAGTGTCAGAGCCAATGGAGGATGGCCAGGCCGGATTGACAGAATCACAGCAGCCGGCACTCTGCAAGTTGATGAGGTTGCCGCTGCGCCGGTAAAGGAGGTCATTCGGGTTCTGAAGGCTCTAGCCAAGCGGGTGGACGTGCGAGACAGGAGCTGTGCAGTAAAGTGTGAAGGATTGCCTGGGAAGCATTTGCTGCAGTAAAGGAGAGAGAAGAAGCTTCACGAGGAATTCGGAAGCTATTGCCTCTTGGACTGCATGACTTGCCACAGCTCAGTCTAGCTTGAGAAGCTGAGTCAGCCGAGGTGCAAAGGCAGACACCTCGCTCGAAAAAAGCCTCAAGGCTGACGCTGACGGTTTTTCCACGGCTCCTACTTGGCTCCTTTGCAGAGAGATGCAGTCTGCAGGAGTCGCAGTCCGAGCTGCCTCATCTCCAGCTGGCGCTGGTCGAGGCAGAGAGGAAGCGACAGGCACTTCAAGAAGAGATCAAGGCAGGAGAGAGCGAGTCGAACGGAGTAGCGCGAGGGGTAGGGCATAGTCTGCTCTCGTCCGAACGAGGCTCATGAGAACGATGCGGCATCTTGCAAGTCTGCTCTCCAGACGGCAGAAGCCATTCGTGCTGACGAGACGCAAAGCTATAAGAAGGACGGGAAAATTTCTGTACATCCCGTACTAGCCCAGATGCTGGTGGTCGCAGCACAGGAGCTTGCCACCCTGACGGCAAACCAAGAGCGACTAGAAGAGCTTCTCGCCGTGCAGGACTGCCACAGATTTCTTGTTGCCTGCTCTGGGCGTCGCTAGGACGTATTTGTCCAAAGCTGCGAGCAGGCAGAACTAGAGTAACTCGCGAGATTTTCGGGTCGGCTTAAGCGCATTCCTGTACCTCGGCCTTGGCGGCCAAAGGCCGACTTTGCAAAGCACGTCCCGGAGTAAGCGCTCTGAGCTTGTGGAGAGGAAGTTCAGGCGAAGGTTGTGTGCATTGCTCTGGCATTGTTCGATTCCCCATGTTCGTCAAGGTTCCTTTAACGTTCATAGATGCCGATATTCGAGCGCAGGTTGCAGGCAAAGGCAGGATTTGGCTTTCCCGACTGTCTGCGATGCAAGGAGGTCGGAACCTCCATCGGTGAGCAGAAGTCTTCGGAGTGTCTAGGCTGTCTAGGCTTAGACTCCGCCGTAGCTGTCGCGACTCGCAAAGTACAAGCAGCACTGTGCTGTCAAATTTGTTTGTATGCTTCCCCAGCGTATATCTCAGGTCTAAAGGTGCTCGGCTCGGGGATCTTTTGTGGTCTGCCTGCGTGTGTTGCGCGACTGTTGGTCTCCCAATCGCCTTCTGTGAGGCGACGGCAGCAAGTTTGTCCAGACGGGTGACGCAGCGTTTCAGAGACTGACGCTGTCAGCGAGCAGCATCCTTGCAGCAATGAGGTTGCTGTCGGTTTGAATGTTAACGTCTGTGGATGCCGAGCACACGCGTACTTCGACAGTGCGAGAGTGCTTTTTGTACTTGGCATGAGGCGCCACGGAGCTCATAGAGATGCTTCAAGCTCCAGATGCAACTGCCGGGCAGAAGATTCAAGTCTTGGCTCCTCACTGCACTTCATGGGTAGCCCTGCATCACGAAGCATGCCATGGGCTCTTGCCAGCATGTGATATGTTCTGAGGAGATGCTGAAGAACATGCTGGACTGACCCCGTCCCTTGAGCTCGGTGCACCCCAGTCTTTTGCCAGAGCGCAAGCGGCAGGATGGCGTGAAGAAAGACATGAAGGAGCTGAAGACTCAAGAGGCGAAGCGAGCAGCGGTCTTTGCCGCAATGCAGTATCCTGGGCTGCAATTTATCAGACCGTGCAGAGGAACACAAGATGACACAAGTATCTCAATCTCTGTCTCTCCTCTTGGCCTCGAGGAAGGCGAAAGCAGACGAGCTCAAGTCTCTGCAAAGGATAAGACCAGTCTTTGAGTCCTGTCTCCTCCCGGTCTTTCTTGTCTTCCTGGTCAGCAGGAGCTTGCAGCAGAAGGGCGAACGTGATGCTGGCTTTCAGAAGCAGATGGCAACCATTCGCATGGAGCGTCAGGCAGTTCGACAATTTCGTTTGCAGCATTTCGGGTTGCCCAGACGATGAGATGCCCGCCAGGACACGGCCGCTCTTGTGGATGATGCGGACAAGCTCGGTAAGAGTCTACAGAATTGGTGCACCATTCGGCGCGGCCAGCATGCCTCCATGACCCTCAGCAAGAAAGAAGATCGGTGCCAAGCGACTATAGTAGTCTTGGTGGTTCCTACCTTTTTATGGGCTTCAAGGCAGATGGAGATGCAGGAAGAGCAGAAAGCTTTGCAGAGCGCAGCAAAGCTTATGTGCCCGCCTCTGATTCTGAGCTTGGAGTGGTGGGGCAGACGAGTTCTTGATGCCGACAGCTGGAGGCTGTCCGGAACCGACCTAGAGATTTTCAAGCCTGCGTCGCTTGTGACATTCTTGCAAGTGGCTGAGAGGCACAGGACAGGCACACTCTGGGAAGCCGTCGTTCAGCCAGTTTCAGCAGGCACCAGAATGCGCACGACACCTCCGGGCAACAACGTGCTCTCAGAGGAAAGCCAAGCTCCTTCGATGAACTTAGAAGTTGATGTGCGGCTCAGTCTTGAAAGCGCACCTGCCCAAAACACCATGAAGGGTTGGGATCTTGTTCAATAAGGTCCTGCCCTAGAGAAGATCACCAAGCTCGTCGATTCCATGGTGTCTGCATTCATCTCAGTTAGCAGATATCCCGTCGAGAAGTCTCACCTTTCTCTGACCGTGAGGTCTTAGAGAAGGCACAGGAGGACGACAACCTCAAGATTCAAATGTGCAAGGCTCCGGAAAGGAATGCTATGCTCGTGGCAGAAGCACTTGCATCCATGGCATGTCAGGACGAAACAGCATCCACCGAGGAAGCCAAGGCAGCCCTTAGTGAGAAAGCGCAGTCCAAAGCTGCCGACATCGCTACGATTCTCAGCGGCACGGGATCCATGCTGCAACTGAATTCTGATGCGCTTGATCCTGGCACCCAGATTGAGTGAGCAGCTTGAAACCCTGGAGAGGGACGTCGCCGCTGAAAAGCTGCTCATCTCAACCCGCAAGCATGGGTGACAGATGTTCCCATGTTGGAGAGTCACCCGGCCCAGTGCTGTCGTTCTTCAACTAAGGACGTCGATAACTCGGGTTGATTGGGTGGTGGCCAAAGCCACGGAGCTTCGCGAGAAGGAGCACAAGCATTTGGCAACATCCATCGCGCAAGGTGGCGGCTGAGCATCCTCTCAGTGTTATCCAGAGATGCAGCAACAGAGTGCCGAGGCGCTGCGGCTGTGGATGTCACCAGGATGCACAGAGTTTGTCCTTTCGCTGTTCGCTCACTGCGAGGGGCTAGCACCAAGGTGATGCATAAAGCCATGAACTCTCTTGAGAAATACTTGGACGAGGCTCCGACTGGAAGTGGTCGAGCGTGTGGTGTACAGATAGAGTCTTCATGTCGTCCCGAGGGCGGCACCCTTGATGGGCCAAAAGCCAAGAAGGACGACGAGGACCTTGGCCCAGTCAAGACAAGCTTCGCTGTAGACTTGCACCGGTTCAGGAGTTCGGATTCCTCTTGGAGACCACCTCAGGAACGGACACCAAGGCAGCATTGAGGTCGGGGTCACGAAAGTGAGCTGCCCACTGTGGCTTCATGCCTGACCTGGTTTGGCAGGTCGCTGCAGGCAGTCATCGACGCAGTTCGGTCCGAGGTCGAGCAAGTGAAACTTCGACGCCCAGTTGCACAGCAGCCTAGGCCACAGCATGAGGATGGGAGCACAACCTTCCTGGCTGAGGTGAGGCAGCCGACCAAGCCGCCTATGTGGAGCTGGTAAAGGTACCGTCCCACTCATGTCGGTGCCTTCTTCGACTGCTGCTCTGTCAGGTGGCTCGGGCCTCCCGGCGGAAGGATGCCTACACCCTCACGGACTTCGTTGGAGGTCAGGCAGCCTTGACCGCCGAGTCCCAGCGCATCCAGGACAGGCAGAAGGCCCGCAACTCCATCCTAAGCCCGTCTCGAGTTCAAAACTTCTAAACAGCAGGATGGGGCTCTAAACCGTGCAGAGAGAGAGAGAGAGTGTGTGTGTGTGTGCGCGCTCATCCTTTTCCCTCGATAAAACCTTCTTGACACCAGGGGGATGATAAGCCCTCATATCATGCATGCCCATGAGAGTGTACGACCATCCTCTTTTCGCCCTCGAAGACATTATGACATCAGTCTTTGGATAGTCTACACTCGTTCCTCACTCCCCCTTATTAAGACAATCCGGTGGGCATTTTGCCCGGGGGCGTTGACCAGCCCCCAAGTCCGAGAGAGAGAGAGAGAGAGTGTGTGTGCTGGTCCAGGCTTTGCAAGAGCAGATGGGCCTCACGGATCAGCTCGCCTCGACCTTGAAAGCCGAGCCACGGCGGAACGTTCGTTAGGTCTTTAATTCTGCAGATTTTGAAGTACTTCGTAGCGGGAGGCACGTGGGCAGGCTTGGGTCGATGTAGCAGCTGCGTCAGTGAGCAGGAATGTGACAAGCTCATCGCCAACTACAAGGCGAAAAAGCAGGCACGAACCATGGAGATGGATGTCCTCAAGAGCAAAAAGTCGGCTCTTGCATCCCGGCTGCCTTGTTTCCGCTACGTAGCATCGAACCAGCCACTGCAGTTTGGGCCAGAGAATGCTCCTACCAAGGAAGCATCTCTTGCCAGTGCCTGAGCTTTTCGCGTTTCGTTTCATTGGCCGCAAAACTGCTTCCTCAGCGAGGGTGCTCAATGATCGTGTTCTGTTCGTTGCAACTTGACTAACAAAGGCCGATGTGGATCTGGAGTAAACGATACCCGCGACGTGTGCAATCAACAAAAAAACGTGGCAGAGTTGTGCAACTGTCTGCCTGTTTCGTAGCCATGCAAGTGCTGCGACTTTTTCCCCTTCGGCCAGCACCACAGACACAACACGCATGCAGGTGGAAATCCTCACCGGCAGGCTTCACCAGATTCGGGCTCAAGACTCAGCGTTGCCACAGACGAGGCTTGTCGAATTTGTGCCGCGTTCCTGGAAGGCGCACCTGAGCGGCGAAGGCTTTCCGTTGCTCGGTGGCAGCCCCAGACGATGCATGGGATGCACTCTTGTGGCCACGGCAGGCAGTAAAGAGTTGACCTTTCTGACTGAGGTGATGCCATGTATGGAGCAGACCCAGACGACCACTCAGCCACACCTGTAAATCAGAGTTGGATTGATATGCACGTGGAGACAAGTCACTGGCCTTGCCTGCTGCGTGCGAGTGTGAGTGTCGAAGTCACTGGCACCAGGACTTGGATCGGTGGTGCTCGCGCATCTTCTTGCATGCAGCATTTCTAGGCCACAGGGCAACTTATAATGAGATTCACGGCTTATACAAGCTTTATGACGCACTGAGATGTATTCCGGCGGTTGTTGTGCTGCCTCATGCAGTCGGACCATCTGGATGCAGCGGCAGAGGGCGAGAGAAAGAGAGAGAGAGAGAGAGAGAGACAGACAGAGAGAGAGAGAGCAACCTGGGGGGAATTCCAAAACCCCGCTGGGACCCGCGGGTGCGCGTCCGCGCGCGGGGAAGTGGGGCGTGCCCTGCTTCTCCTGTCCCGGTAGAGAGAGAGAGAGAGAGAGAAAGAGAGAGAGAGAGAGAGAGATGCCGGGATATGACCTTTATTTAGTGCTGCATGTTGTTGCTTCTTCTGACTGGCACACCCCACATCCCT